CCCTGGAGCTGGCAGTAATGGTACCTCCACCATTTTAAAAGTGGAGAGGCAGAGCCAGCATCTAGGGCAACTTCAAACAAGCTGCTTACCATTTTAAAAGCTCTTCAAGATAGATAGTAAAGAATTACAGATAACTCAATAAGGACAGATTCAGATATAAAAGAACTCTAAATGGGTCAATGTTGGATAGATGAACGTAGGCTTAGGAGAGAGAAGAAAAAAGTACAGAGAGCTATAAAAATGTTTTTCTTAAAAAATAAAACTACAGGGCTGGAGAAATGGCTCAGTGGTTAAGAGCATTGCCTGCTCTTCCAAAGGTCCTGAGTTCAATTCCCAGCAACCACATGGTCGCTCACAACCATCTGTAATAAGGTCTGGTGCCCTCTTCTGGCCTGCAGACATACACACAGACAGAATATTGTATACATAATAAATAAATAAATACTTAAAAAAATAAATAAAACTAGTCTTTAAAGGGACAGAGTAAAGAAAAATGAGCCACATAAAAATGGGAAATTCAGAGAATCTGGATTATGTATGTGTTCTTTGAATGTTTTTGACTGTGAATGAGCTAAGTAGAGAGACATTTCTTTGCATAGGCTGCTAAGCTAAACCAGAATGCATATTATAAAGGTATCATGATTAACAAATTTGGGTCTAAGGATATGTTGCTTTGGAAAAGCGATTCTTCTCGTTTCCACAGAGGATTGAGAACCTGTGGATTGCTTCAGGACTGGAGTGGTTTGATAGAGCACAACCACATGAAAGGCCACCTTGAACACCCTCAAAAAATTACTTCACCCAACTGCTGACTGAGATGAACTTAGCACACAGGATGTACCATGAAAGGCCTGATTAATAGCAGCCCCATACAGCAGCAGTGTGGAGAAAACTATGCTTGTATTTCCAAATATTGTGTTTGTTTACATTTTAAAGAGGGATATGATAAAGATTTGTATAATTTGCATTGGTATCGATCTTGGTTTTTGTTTCTGTTTTTTGATTTTTCGAGACAGGGCCTACCGAGTGCTGGGATTATAGGCATGTGCCACCACTGCCCGGCTCAGAACTTGGTTTATTGATACAAATTTAAGATCAATTTTGTTATGTGTATATGTATTTCTGATCTTAAGGTACATTTGTGTAGTTCACTTAAAAATGCTACAAGAAATATAATACTCATAATAGTCAAGCTTATAGTCATACTTGATTTTCTAGATGTATAGAGTACATTTCAGGTATTCAAATATTCCAGACCTTCAAACTATGGCATTTAAAATGTTTTGAGAGCTTAAGACTTTTCATGACAATGAGACACATCTGCTCTTGGTAGCACCAATCTACTTCAAAAGAAAGATGGGCATCAAACAGACTCTTCATGGAGTTTACAAGCCATTTGGGCAAGAGATTACTATTGCCTGGACTGTTTGATGAGCTAAACATGCATGACCCGCAGAGTGATGACTGCTAAACTTGCCCAAAGGTGAGAGATCCTTCGGGGTTCCTGCTTTATGAAAAAGTCTGCTAAACATTCTGCAGGCCACAGAGAAATATGACAAACTGTCAATATAGACAGAAATGTCTTTGAAATTTTCTGCTTCATGGAAGTTTGCTGAATACTATGGGCCTGTGGGCTGAAGATGGGTGCCCCAATGGAACAGAACTTTGGGTGACTGTCCAGGAGCAAGATGTCTCTGTCTAGTTTTGGAAGTTGCTAACAATGTGCTTCCTGTTTACTTAGGTAATATAACTAAGATTAACTATAAATTCAACTCCATCAAGGACCCCAGTAGAATATATTACCTATGATAAAAGATAAAGCAGACATTGTAACTGTTATTCTTGATAATTTTACTGTTAAAACCTTCCTTTTTGTTTAAACGGAAAAGGGGAAACAGTGTGGGAGGTCCTTCTGTGTTGCTTTTATTGGTTAATGAATAAAGAACTGCTTTGAGCCTATAGCATGGTAGGAGGAAAGTGGTGTGACACCATGGAGCCAGGTGTGGCAAAACTTTGCCTACGCCACTGCTAGAGCTAATGAGCCAAGCAGTGATTTAATTAATACAGTTTCTGTATTTTAATTAATTCTGGTCTAAGCTAGACGGGCTGCCAGGACCAAAAAATGGCTACCGCCTCCAACACCCTCTGTAGACCAGGCTGCCCTCAAACTCAGAAATACACCTGCCTCTGCCTCCTGAGTTCTGGTACTAAAGACGTGTACCAGCACCGCCCAGCTATCCTTTTCTAATTTACCCTGTTCACCGTAAAAACTAGAAAATGAGACAGAAATTGTTATTCTAAAGTCTTAGAACATTGAGCCTTGCCGGGTGGTGGTGGCGCACGCCTTTAATCCCAGCACTTGGGAGGCAGAGGCAGGCGGATCTCTGTGAGTTCAAGACCAGCCTGGTCTACAAGAGCTAGTTCCAGGACAGGCTCCAAAACCACAGAGAAAGCATGTATCAAAAAACCAAAAAAAAAAATAAATAAATAAATAAAAAAATTGAGCCTTAAGATGTTCTTCAAATGGATATGTAGTATTTGAGTAACCTAACAACTGTCAGTCTCCTGATTCCACTGATACCAAGATCCCAAAGAATAGTCTTCAAAATGTAAAACTATCAGCATCTGCAACTTGACAGACTGGGATAGTAGCCTAGAGGCAACATCCAGGTGGCATGCTCTTGGTTATAAACCCTTAGCAAAAGGTAAGAAACTGTACTAGAAATTTTCATTCTCTATTTTTCATCTATTAGCATGGCAGTACATTTATAAGTCCAATACTTGGTACGTAAAAGATTGTAAGTTTGAAATCATCCTCAAATTGGTGATGCAAAGCCTGGCTTCGAATACATGAGACCACCTTTATTTTGATATCAAAAGTATCCCAAATTCCCTTTAAATAGTTACTTCTTGACTAAAATCCACCACCCCCCCCACGAGTTTGAAAAATATACCTAGAGGATCTAGAGGTGGCTCAGTGGTTGCTCTTCCAGAATATCCAGGCTCAATTTCCAGCACCCACACGGCTCACAACTGTAACTCCCATTGCAGGGGATCTAACATGTTCACAACAATGCACCTAAATGGACCTAAAACACCTACCATCTGATCCAAATGTTAATGCCACTAACCTTCTTCAAAACAAATGAGTTAGCCCACAACTACAGACACCCAGTCAACTTCTGTAACCAGATAAAACACCATGCTTTGTTGGCCTAGGACCCTGAATGTCAAAGCAAGTACATATATCTAGGCAGGGTTTCTCTGGAGCCTGTCCTGGAACTAGCTCTTGTAGACCAGATGGCCTCAAACTCAAAGAGATCTGCCTGCCTCTGCCTCCCAAAACCTGGAATTAAAGGCATGTGCCAACACTACCTTGCAATTGTTTTCTTTTCTAGGCAAAGAAAATCACACAGGACGCTGAGGCCTACAACATACAATGTTCTTATTAGGATTAAGGGTACTGATAGTTTTGGTGATGAATGAAAAGTGTAATTTCACTCTTCTCAGATTTTCTATCTGCATTCTTGGAGAAAGTATAAATTCACCTGAAAAGACAGTAAGGACCAGGAATATGAGCTAAAGAAGATGCTCTATTCTGAACTGAATCTGCCCCCAACATCTTGAAAACACCAATGCATCAAATAGGTTTTATTTATTCCTATCTTGGGCATCTGATGGACACTAGATTACATCCCCGCTACTCTAAAAATCTAACATGCCTATGACAGAATAAAATATCCATCCAAGATCTAGATCCTTCCCTTGACTACCTGCTTCTAAATGGCCCAAGGGTGGTTCAGCAGGTTGTAACATGGAACACAGAATCTAAACTAGCTAAAAACTCAGTACAGTTAAATGTGAGTGTTCACATGAAAACCCAGGACTATACACCAAGATCATATAGATGGGGGCATGGGCCCAAGGGTAGCCCCCAAATAGTCATTCTACTTTTAACTCAGTATAGTTAAATGTGTGAGTGTTCACAGGAAAATCCAGGATCATATGGGTGGGGGGTGGGACCCAAGGGTATAGCTCTCAGATAGTCATTCTACTTGTAACTCAGTTTTTACCATTTGTTACATAAAAGGAAATGTTTGTCTACTGTGCACAGGATGAAAACACAAGCTAGCACTGTCTGCTAAACAGAATGATATATTTTGAAAAATAGGAAGTCTATGTTCATAAATGACCAGGTTTTATAGCCCATTATACAGAAAAATAGGGGTAAATCAAAAATAAACTGGCTGTCAGGACCAAGCCAAGTAACAAGCAAGCTTCAAAGCCCTTTCACATTTTTAGCCTTAGAATGTTGGTTCTTAAGCTGGGCCATGGTAGTGGCACACACCTCTAATGCCAGCACTTTGGAGGCAGAGACAGGTGGACCTCTGAGTTCAAGGCCAGCTGGGTTTACAGAGCAGTTTCTAAGGCTCAAAGCTATACAGGAACTGTCTTGAAAAAAAAAAAAGTTGGGTCTTATGTGGCACATTGTTCGCAATGACTGAAACTAATCTAGCAAGGGTAAGCTCATACAGAAATTAGCCCTCCCTCATTGTACTCTCAGTTTTCTGAAAGACAAATACTTTCCTATATCCTGTGAGGCCAGGATGGGAATCCAAATAAAAATGAACTAGGCTTCTAAACAGTAACTGAAACAATAAACCACTCCATGTCAATAAAATTTAAAATTAACATTCATCTTGAAATTATTTTAATTTATATTGGCACACATGATTATGACTCAAAAAAACTCTTTAATATAATCTGGTAAGATTTGCAGAAGTCAATTAAAAAAAGTAATTATAGCCGGGCAGTGGTGGCGCACGCCTTTAATCCCAGCACTCGGGAGGCAGAGGCAGGCGGATCTCTGGGAGTTCGAGGCCAGCCTGGTCTACAAGAGCTAGTTCCAGGACAGGCACCAAAGCACAGAGAAACCCTGTCTCGAAAAACCAAAAAAAAAAAGTAATTATAATAAAAATCAGTTTTTTCCTTCAAATTCCTGGTTTAATAAGGAATTGTTTATTTTGAGAAAAAGATCCCAAACATCAGGCTGTTCACAAAAATAACCCATGGTATTAACTTTAGAAAACAAATATTAAGACTATTACACTATTTTCCTGTAAGATGCATTCGACATGCCAACTCTCATTCACAAAAATACATGGTTACATTCGTGTTGAACAGCCCCACTCAAGTGAGGGAAAACACACACCTCTAATGCAAAGCTGTTCTCAGGGATCACAAGTAAATGAGATGCCTCTGCGGTTAGGGAAGCAACTACTGAAATTATATGAATGGGAAGAACTGTACTCCCTGCATAACCAGAGATTATTTGGAGACAGTTGATAAAAACCATACATCTTTTTATTGTTAAGTCAAAGAGGTATCAAAATTAAAAGCAAAACTTACAGGGTAAGACTTAACGAAACTACTAAGGAGCATCAAAGGATGTGAGAATGGAACTAGGCGCAAGGCAATTATGAATCAATGAACACAGGAGAGGGAGAGGGCGAACAGTGAGACTGCTGAAGACAACTAGGGGAGAGGATCTGGTGTTACTTCCATCTCTCACAAGCGCCTAGGTAAATGATTAACAGGATAAGATCTCTAAACTCCGCTATGTGCTTAGGAATCATCCTCCCCATTGGCGCTGTCTCTGTCATCCTCTCCTTCCTCAGCTTCTTTTTCATCGTCCTTGATCAGCTCCAGCTGTGAGAAATGGAAACCAATAAAGTGGCGTTAGAGGTGTTCCCTGTCTCCCTGTACCACAGTCACCAACTTCCCCTCCTGTCACCAGGTGATCACCTGATCATCCCCTCGATCCTCATTGTCATCGTCATCCAGCAGGTCGCCTTCCTCGGCAGAGTCATCTGCGCCCGCCTCAGACTCCATCTTGACATTCGTCTCGTCTTTCTTCACAGAGGCACTGCTCTGCTCCTCCTCCGACTTCTCGTTCTTCATCTCTACTGGGGAGGAGAAGGACAAGTCTGTCCAGGGGCAAGGGTTGCCCACAGGATATAGAGAACTCTCATTAATCAAAGAACAAGGATAGTCTTACAAACAAATAAATGCCCTTCCGAAACATCCCAATTTGCAAATACATTAAACTACCTGCTTGTTTGCTTTGTTCTTTTTCAATTTTTTCCAGGCTTTCCAGCAGAGAATCCACTTTTTGTTTTATCTGAGTCAGCTCCTTCTTAATGGCCTGAAGGTCATCACCTTTCACTGTAACAAATACATTATTAGATTAGAATAAAACATAATTTACCAGTTGTTGAAAATGGTCTCTTGGGGCGGTGGTGATGCACGCCTTTAATCCCAGCACTTGGGAGACAGAGGCAGGCAGATCTCTGTGAGTTGGAGGCCAGCCTGGTCTACAAGAACTAGTTCCAGGACAGGCTTCAAAGCTGCAGAGAAACCCTGTCTCGAAAAACCAAAATAATAATAATAATAATAAAAAAAGTCTCTTCCTAAGTGCTGGGTTTTTTGAGCACCATAGGGGGAAATTGTTTTAACAGCTATGTATTTCCAAAAAAAAAAAAAAAGTAACAATTTGGATGAGGTAACAACCACAACAATAAGTAATGGAGACTTTGGGGGGGGGGGGGACAGGACAGGACTTCTGAGTACCCCTGGCTGTCCTGCAAGCTGTGCTGGGATTAAAGTTGCATGTCATCACCACCAGCTAAGTAACAGAAACCTTTATCTTCAGTTGGTAAATGACTTATGTTAATGTTGTATTATAGAACTTGTATGTTACAGAACTCACAGATCTTTCTGCTTCTGCTAGGATTAAAGTTGTGCACTGCCACATATCAGCCTTCTTAACCTGAAATTCTTAATCACTACTTTTTCCTTGGCTTGTGTTCATGAATAAGTCAGAAGCAATGTCAAGTGTCATACAATATTGTTCTTTATTAAGGAGGAGGGAAAGTTTTTCTTTTGTGGGTTTTTCAAGAGGGTTTCTCTTTGTAACTTTGAAGCAATTACTGTTCTGTAACTTGTTCGTTTGTTGACCAGGCTGACCTTGAAATCAAGAGATCCTCCTGCCCCATCTCCTAAGAGCTAGGACTTAAAAAGTTGTGTACCGCCACCACACATTAAGAGAAAACAGGCTTTCGCTATGTGCCTGCTCCTGCCTCCCTAATGTGGGGGCTAAACCCATGACTACTAAAGGATCTCTCAATGAAACAGGAATTCACTGACTTTGCAAGTCCAGGTTGCAAGTTGCTCTCAACCACCCCCACCCTGCCAAGGTAGTTAAAGTAAGGTACTTCTGTTTTCTATGTATGCTCAAAACCCAAACTCAGATCTGCATCCCTTGCAGTACAGCAACTTTACCAACTGAGCATCTCCCAGACTCACACCTCATCTCACTGTTTCAAGTTCATACACATATACCAGTTATATCAACTGTAGCAATGCCCTTAATTTAAAATAAATACAGGCTAGAGAAGTGGCTAAGTTTGTTATTCTTGCAGAAGTTCTCAGCACCTATGTCGGGTATCTCACATCTGTAACTCCAGGAATCAACACCCACTCTGAGCCCAATTGCCCTGCCCTACATACATATATGTAAATAAAATTTGGAGGTAGAAGGCATTGAACAAACACCACACCATGATAAAAGCAAATTAACACTTACATTTTCCGGATTTGGAAGAAGAGCCCCGTTGTCCACTCTTTGAATTGAATCCACTTTTGCCTCTCCGAGAGGTGTTTCCAGAAACACGTTGGCGTTTAGAAGGCACCACCGCTCGAGCAATAGGAGGAGGAGGAGGAACACGTGCTGGGTAACTATACATCCTATGGGGGGGGGGGGGGAGAATGTCTTACAATAGAATTCTGTTTGATGCGATTCAAAACTCTACTCTGTTGAAATACCACCGCAGAAACTCCAGAGAGGAAAAATCATTCATTGAATGATAGATAGGCTTGGCTGGTTAAGTACAATGTTTATTTCCTCTCTGACACTTTCGACAGAATATTACTTATAATGAATTGCTTTTTAAGCAATCAACATAAAGTCAAGTGTAATGCTCATAAAATGACTAAAATTTACCAAGGTACTCATTTTTAACGAAGTCTGATCACATAAACAAAAATGCTGCTACTATAATTACAAAGTTCAGCCACCTAAATTTTTCACCTTAAATAGGAAAAAAAATAACCCACAGCTAATCAGAGGACAGGTAAGATAGCAGCACATTAAAGCATTTGCTGCCAAACCTAATGAGCTGGATTTGATCTCTGGAATTTGGATGAAAGGAAGAAGAAGCCTCTGGCCACATGACTCCCCACCATCAATGTGGAAACATCTTACTACAATTACTTATTTTAGTGTGCAGAGGTATGGCTGGCACACCATACTTAAAGCCAGCCAGGACCACCTGGAGGACTTCCATTCCATAGGAGAACATGACCTATCACAAGTAAAAGGTAACTTTACTTAAATCAGCTTAATGGAACAAAGACCAATTATATTTGTTGATTTGAAATGCATGTTACACTGGTTTGTCCAGCTCTACCATTTTAACCAACAGTTCTCCCATTTACCTTCATTTCTGTGAGACAAAGTTTACTACAGCTATTTCTTATTGTTCAAGGTTGCCTAAGAATCCCTGAATCTTAGGCCTTAACACTTTCTGAATTAACAATAAGTTAATAAACATTTAATAAAGCACATGCCATTAGTACTGCAGAGGCAGGTGGATCTCTTGATTGTTCGAGACCAGCATGGTCTGTACAGTGAGTCCCAAGAAGAGCACTACAAAGTGAGGTCCTACTTCAAAAAACAAAAGCCAAACAAAAGCAGGTACAGCAGACAGAAGGAATGCACCTGCTACTCTTATCTGCGTTTTTCTGAAACAGAAACTGCTTAATTATCTCAAAATTGTGTTTTCATCCTCTAAATTTGCAACAACAAATATACTTTTAATAAAGATCAGTGCGAAAATGAGAAAAAACTACAGAACATCTTATTAATCTCTTGTCACATAAACTCTTTAAGTGGACACAGAACAAGGATTAAAAAATATTTAGGTCCTTTTAAGCAGATTGATGTTTTAGAGTTAGCATACTCTGTAGATTTATTTGCTAGGCAAGTGATGGTGGCTCACAACTTTAATTCCAGCACTACAAAGAAATCCTTGTCTTGGGGGTGGGGGACTAAAGGAATCCTTTTTTCCCCCCATTATACTGTGTGATTTGCATTTGTTTCTTTCATTCTTGTATTTGACAGGCTAGCCTCAATTTGACAACCTTCTGAGTGCTGGAATTACATGCCAATCACCCATTATCATTTCTGTTATTACATCCAATTCCAGTCATTTCAACAATTTGAAAGATTTACACAAGTTTGAGTCATTTGCTAAGCAATACAGTTTAATCATTACACACGGCATTTCTCACAGGTATCACAGTAATCTAGAGAAAAGCATGCAAAATACAGCTGGGGTCCTAAGTAGGATGTAGAGAGGGTACAAGTATATAAACCATCTACCTCTTACATAAGGGAACCGCATCTCTTATACAAGAGGAAGCCACAGGGAGTTTTGAAACTATCATACCAAGTTACTACACCTCTAAATGAAAACATTTCAACACTAAGAATGCTTTGGACAACTAAACATACTAGGGCACACAGCTTGTAAGAAAACAAGCCAGGGGGGCTGGAGAGATGGCTCAGCGGTTAAGAGCACTGACTGCTCTTCCAGAGGACCCGGGTTCGATTCCCACCACCCACATGGCAGCTCACAACTGTCTGAAAATGCAGTTCCATGAGATCTGACACCTTCACACCAACGAACATAATAAAGTTAAATAAATAAAAAGTTTAAAAAAAAAAAAAAAAGAAAACAAGCCAGGTGAGGTGGTACACTGTAATCACAGCACTCAGGAGTGCTGAGGCAAAAAGGATCTTTAAGCAGACCTGGGCTACATGAGGCTGCAAAAACTAACATCAAAGTCAAAACTAAATACACACAACCAGCTCATCACCTTGTGGATTTTAGAATACTTGCAGAACAGAATAATGATTCAAAAATCTGCACCACAAAGAGTCAACATGACACGTGAATATATGCAAGGTAAGAGTGCCAACTGACTCTGAAATCCTTCATTTGAATCTACTTTTCTTAATTTTCAAAGATTAACTATGAAAAGCTGATCAGTTTATATACTATTTTAGTAGTAATCTCTTTGAAAGGCTTCAGAACAAAAGTAATCTAGGTTATGACATATGTGTTGAACATTAACTTCATGGGAATTTAGCATTACCATGTCACACTGCTTTCGTGTGTCAGGTCCAATTTAGGGGTGGGGAAGAGGCCAGAATCTTCCTAAAAATCCAAATTCAGATGCTCTTCCTCACCCGCTAAATATTGGCTTGCAAAGCAGCTGATTTACTGGGCAAGGGCAAGGCAATTCCTATCACTAATCCCTGAGGCAAACAGCTCTGAGTTCATGGTCAACAAGTCTCTTAAAAACAAAGGAACCATTAAATCTTATTAGAGATGAGCTACAAAGGAATCTGGTTACTCTAGTGATTCCAACAATGATGTATTCTGTACAAGACCACCCACACAAAATGAATGCCAGGTGGCATCTAGCTCCAAAGCGGAGTTAACTCTAAGTTACAAAGTTCTTTGCTGACCAATCAATTTGTCTTGAGTAAACACTTCCTCTACCACTACAGAACAACCATGCACTCCTGTGTTTGTTATTTATATAACAAAGCTGCCAGGACACTTCAAGGGTTTCTTATCAGCTCCTTGTTTCTCATGATGCCAGTCTTTAAAGTTGGGGCAGTGTGTGCCTTTACAGTCTGCACTTAGTACGGCTCCAAGTGGATGACACTGTGATCACCCCCCTCCCTCCAGCTTATCCTTTAAAAAATTCAAAGGCATTGTTTAAAAACACTGTTAACAACTTTTGTATCCTGCCAGTGAATTGGTTCAAACCTTTTAATCCCAGCAGAAGAGGCAGGATGATTGCTGCCAAGTTCTAGGCCTACAGGTCCAACTATAAGTTCCAGGACAGCCAGAGCTGATGATACACAGGGAAACCCTGTCTCAAAAAACCAAAATTAAAAAGGAACTTTTTAATCCTTTCTTCCACAGCACGCCTAACTTTTCAAAACTTATTGGAAATTCCCTTGGCCAGATAATTCTCTGTGTCTTACTGCTGCTCCAAACTACCAATATTTCCGCATACAACTCAAAGTGAGTTTCAGAAATGCAGTTAGAGAAATTCAGTCTGGAAAATAAAACAGAAGGTTTAAAGACTTACAATTCTTTGAATACTATTAAAATAGTTAAAATCTTAAAAAAAATACCTATTTTCTAACTTGATAAACCTCTAAGACCAGCAGTTGGGGGAGACATAAATTCAAAGAAAGCTCAAAGAAAAATAATCACAAATAGAGCTTGTGATACGTGTTATATACGTGAGGCTAGCCTAAAAAGGTTAAATGAAAAGGGAGATGCCCAATAAAAGCAAGCATCTAATTCAAGTATTTTAAATAAATAAACGGCATTGGCTATATCCTCCAAACATTCATATGTACTGTTCACCCATTAAAATGCATTTCAAGTCCCACCTTCCTACTATGCCTAACTGAAAACGTGGTTTTTACTTCTGGCCTCCATATTCCTGTGTGTGAACATGTATACACATAGTTCAATAGGTGCTGCGAGATGGCTCATCAGTTAGGAGACTGACTCTTCTTCCAGAGGACCCAGGTTTAATTCCCAACTTACTTACATATGACTAAACTATCTGTAACTCCAAAAGTCTAACACCCTCACACAGACATACATGCAGTAACTGCAAATTTAAAAAGAAAAAGTCCTCCTTTCCTGGGGCGTGTGTACAAGTTTATCACTCATTATAAGGACCCAATGACAAACGAAGGTACGTATTACAGCACAGAAGTCCATAAAGAAGCCACACTGGAAGGAATTTTACCAACACAGAAGACACCCTCAAGGCTTTATGGAATGTGCCCTTCCATTAACCCTGACCTAAGATCCCAAGCCACATGATATAGAACTGGTTGGGGATAGGTGGATGCAATGCAGAGGGTCTTATGACCCTCCCCCATCCTTTCCCTCTAAAAGGGATGATCTAAGCCCGGTTATTTAGATGTTTTGGTAATGCTTAACTCCTGAAGACAAGTAGACCTGATAATACAGCTACACTGCATTGTGTAGGTCTATGTGCTGCTACTACATGCCATGATCAAAGGTGTGCACATACCACCACATCTAGTACCATGATAACTTCTGTCTGCTCTCACCTAACTTTACCAGACAAAACCCTCATGGTTGTCCTACAAACACTAAAGCCATTTAAGGTCCAAGTTAGAAATGTTTGCATCTCCCTGTTTCTTAGAACTACACTATAGGCCGGGTGGTGGTGGTGCATGCCTTTAAGCACAGCACTCAGGAGGCAGGCAGATCTCTCTGTTCAAGGCCAGCCTGGTTTATAAGAGGTAGTTCCAGGACAGGCATCAAAGAAACCTTGTCTCGAAAAAAATAAAAGAAAAAAAAAAGTAAACTATACTCCACACTTAGAAATCTTAGCAATGTTGCTTTTAAAGCAATTTGCTATTATACATGACTTAATGTTTCCTAGATCATTAAAAGGTATATTCAAAGGTAACTATGCGAGTTTAAACATTAGGGATCCTTTCTATTCTAATACAGATCCTTTCAAATCAACGAAAACGCCATGCTGTGATATGGGTACAAGCTGGCTCAGGAATGAGACCACTGCCTGATGACCCACATTCCAACCACAGTACCAATGCTTGTCACCTCACACGTGCCTGCAAAAAAGCTGATCTGACAAGCCTCTTCAGCAACTAGACCTCCAACACATGAAACAGACATTCACACAAACCAATCACAGAAAGATTTTGAGTAGGGTTTGTTAACATCTTAATATCTTATTAGGTTATAATTTTGAGTAGAAAGCAGCATTTGAGCAAGGCAGTGCTGGCACATGCCTTTAATCCCAGCACTCGGGAGGCAGAGTCAAGCAGATCTCTGTGAATTCGAGGGCCAGCCTGGTCTACAAGAGCTAGTTCCAGGACAGGCTCCAAAGCCAGAGAAACCCTGTCTCAAAAAAAAAAAAAAAAAAAAAAAAAGGCATCATTTGAAACCTGTCATTCATTACTTAAAGAGAATGTGAGCATGACAGGCTTTTAAGGAATATCCAAAAAGAAAAAATCCTTATACATACCTGTCATAATAATCCCGTTGAAAGTCATAGTCCAAATCAAATGAGGAACTGAAAAATAAATACCAAAAGATTGTTTTGGAGTTGCTGTTGTTAATTCAAAAGGCAGACGGGGTGAAAACAGGCCAAACCACCACAACAATCGATTAGCAACAAATAATCCCCATTCATTCAAACAAAACAATTGCCCTCCATATTGTCTTAAGACCACTAGAGAAGCAGTGATCAAATTAGTTACCCTGGTGAGAATTAACAAAATAACTTATGAGGAAAACCATGAACACTGAAAACCATGAAAGAATAATAGTTGTTAAACCATAATCCCCTCTTTCTTCCTTATTCCCCAGTTTCCTAGAACCTAACAATTTTCTCTTGAATTCATGCTAAACTAATAAAATTATTCTTAAATAGCACAAATCTGAGAGCTAGGAAACAGGGGCAAAAGGGAAAGTATGTTAACACAAGTTAATAAGCATTATACTTTTACACATAGAAAACACATTGCACTAACCCTCCCCACATCCAGAAAACAGAGAAGATGCCCACTGATGGACACAATGCAGTTATAAATAATAAAGTTCCGGACCTGAGTAGAGGGGACGGAGAAGGGTGTTCTGGTACTGACCCGTACATCTCCGCTGCAGATCGCTTCACACCTGCTTTCCCTCGGTTCACTTTTGGCTCTGCAGCCAGATTAATATCTGGAAAAAAAGGAAACAAAGGGGAAAGGGGGGGAAATTAAACACAAAAACTTCAAGGCAAAAAGACTGGATTATATCCTCTAGCAAAGCAAATAAAACCCATATTTCAGACTGTATTTATCTGACGTATAACGTTACCTCTCCTTTTCACTTAAAAGGTTTTTACAGAGCTAGCGTTCCATTTCTGTACTGTTTTATACCAAAACTGTCCTGACATAACATTATAATTTTTTCTTTGCTATCTATCCCCACGCTCAGCTCCCATTTGCAAACTTCATCTTTCATAGATGTTTACTCATGCACTTACACAGTTCAGGAATGTCACATCAGGGGTTACTACTAACAACAGGTCCCTCTCCCAGTAATGTTTCTATTTAAATTTCACACACACGCACCATAAAAGAACATGTGCAAAGATAAGCGTGGGAAAATTAATGAAGATATGCTTTCTCTGTAGCTTTGGAGCCTGCCCTGGAACTAGCTCTCGTAAACCAGAGATTCACCTGCTCTCTTCTGGCTTGAAGGCAAACATACAGACAGAACACTGCATATAAATAAATAAATTATAATAAATAATTTTTATAAAGTTGAGATAATAGCTTAGAGGTTAAGAGCACTGGCTGTAATGCTCTTGCAGAGATCCTGAGTTCAATTCCCATAAACTACGTATGACTCATAACCATCTATATAAGATCTGTTGCCATCTTCTGTTACGCGGGCATACATACAAGAACACTAAATATAATGAATAAATCTTTTAGACAAAAATCCAAAGGACAAAGCCTAAACTATATATTCACACACTGTCTGTGACAGCTCCTCATTATACAATATTATTACCATCTGTTTTATCTTAAGACTATCACAAGTTCTCCAGTTTCTGCTTTGCATTATCACATAATATAAAATTGTATTCTTACATTTTAGTCACAACATCAAATATCTAAAGACTACCTTACAGACTTAGGGAAACAAATAAGGTGATCAAGAAGACGCTGCTTTCCGGGCGGTGATGGCGCATGCCTTTAATCCCAGCACTCGGGAGGCAGAGGCAGGCGGATCTCTGTGAGTTTGAGACCTGGTCTACAAGAGCTAGTTCCAGGACAGGCTACAAAAACCAGAGAAACCCTGTCTCGAAAAAAAAAAAAAAAAAAAAGACGCTGCTAGATTATATATAAAAGAATAGCAAAGTGTAATACGTATGTACAAATATGTCATAATGAAATCCAAAACTTTACAAGCTTACTTTAAGTTTGAATTTTATCAACTTACCTAAAACCTGGCCAGCAATCATTCTGCCATCCTCTCCAGCTACAGCTGCCCGGGCATTCCTTTCATTAACATATTGGACAAAGGCAAAGCCCTTATGCACAGAGCAACCCACAATTTTGCCATACTTTGAAAAGATTGCCTCCACATCAGACTTCTTGACCACAAGAGTATTGAGATTCCCAATGAATACACGGGAATTCATGGATCGGGGATCTGTCTTATTGGTAACGTTGCTAGCCATCTTCTTTGTTGATAAGGTTTCTCACAAAGCTGAAACTGGAACAAAAAAGAAGCATTCAGGTTAAGAGATATTGTTAATGGTGTTTCATCTGAACCACTGTGACTGCCTACTGTATCTCTCACAATGTCAAATGTATTAATTATAATACTTCTTTTAGTCCTCTCACTTACTTGCAACACAATTCTGTTTTATCTTAATTCCAAGTTGAAGTCCTTAAGCACATTATAATTTCCTAAATCAGTTTTCAAACTTTTTTGCCTTCCTTATTATAAGAATCATACAATTAGTTCTAACATAGTCTCGCCTTTCTCATAACAGACCTACTTCAAATCTGCATCTTTCAAGTATAAGATAATTAATTTTTAACTTTAAGGTATACTTATAGAAAGGCAAATATTTCCAACTAGTCAAATACTCACTTGGATTTGATTTAGCATATAATACAAAGTCTTTTTTTCATAGGGTATAATCACTATAAAACCATTTACACATGGAATATTAATACTGGATGGTGATGATGATAAACTAGCCATTAACAAAGCAAATAAGAAAAAGCAACTTCCTTCAGTTTTCTTCCCCAGACATCTACTCTGGCAAAGCTGGCCTGAATACTGTAATTCTAAATACTTCAGAATCCTGGAATTTTATGTTGAGTCACCAGGCAGCTGACTCTTTTCAATCAAAAACCTGAAATGGTAATAGTCGATCTTACAAAATACCCACTGACATCTTTTTAAAAATTGTATTTTACAATCCTTAGTTTGCCTATTAATATAAATCCTAATATCAGAATTCAAATTCATATTTATACTCTCCTGATTTTGAAAATAACTGAGAAATATTTAAGCTGAGTCTATTGGAATAATGAAAAACTAATTCTCAGTATGTTTTTCTTTTGTTTCAAGTAATACAAAACATAACAGATCGTCTGTTAAATGATTTTTTACTTAGGAGTTCAATAGTTTTAGAAGCAGTCAAAAGCTCTCAAGCCACATTACAACTTGTGCCCATGTGTACTGCAAAGTTGTTGACATGTAGAAATCAATGGACAGCTATCAAAATCAGTTCTCTCTCCACCATAGATGAGCAATCAAACTGAAGTTGCCAGTCTTGGCAAAGAGCACCTTATTCACTAAGCCATCCGGCTTTCCCCACACTTTACTTTATTATTAGTAAACGACAGGTCACATTTGTTGGATAAAGAATAAATTGACACCCTATGATGCACAAAATACAAATGTCTCAGTCAGTCATAACCAACATCAAAAACCAGGATGGTATGTAGGGCCAATTGGACTATAAAATATAAAAGGACAATTAAATATTCTTAAAAAGTTAAAGTTAACTGTCCTTAGGCAATACATGTCTAGTAAAATACTTGGTATGTATTGTATAAGGTTCTCTTATACATCCCTCAATCCCTTCTCTCTTTTTTTTTTTTGGTTTTTCGAGACAGGCTTTCTCTGCTGTTTTTGAGCCTATCCTGGAACTAGCTCTTGTAGACCAGGCTGGTCTCGAACTCACAGAGATCCTCCTGCCTCTGCTGGGATTAAAGGCGTGCGCCACCACCGCCCAGCTCCTCAATCCCTTCTTTTACAAGATCTGTATGCATCATAGTCATGATTCTGTCTCCCTAAGTAATAAGCTAAGCCTACAGGATTGCCACCGCCTTTGTCAACTCCTCTCCTAGATAACCGCTCAAGGACCTAGGTCATTTTACCTGTTCATCCTTGGTTATTTAAAAACAAACCAAAAAAACCCCATAATCAAACTTATGGGCACAGTGCTGGCACACGCCTTTAATTCCAGCACTTGGGAAGCAGAGGAAAGCGGATCTGAGTTTGGGGTCGCCCTGGTTTACAGACCAAGTTCCAGAGCAGTAAGGGCTACACAGAGAAATCCTGTCAAAAGATTGGGGTAGGGGGAAACTATGATGGCAAGCAACTGAAAAGGATACCCAGAAACCTCATTCCACATCTTCAAATCATAACAAAAAAACAAAAAAAAAAACAAAAAAACACTCAGAACTGAGGGTATGTCTCATGTCAGAAGACCTGAAAGTAGAGTTGCAGACAGGTGTGAGCTGCCATGTAGGTGCTGGGAATGACCCAAATACTCTAGAAGAACAATCAGAAGTCCCCAGCTGGTACTACCTCCACTCCAAAAATTGTTTCAATTTATATATGTAGCAATATAAATAAACTGAAAAATATAAAAAGCATTTTTTATTGGGCATTTCATACAGTTCTCTGCCTTGATCACATGATAACCATACACACGAGTAGATCAAAAATAGTATAACAATATTGTTAAGTAAAAGAAACTACATAACTCAGATTAAAGCAATTCAGGTTTTTTTTTTAAATTACTTACTATGTAATATTGGTTGCCATGTAATGTTAACAGGGCATCCTCAAAAATAAGAAAATCACAGGTCTACATATACAGGTTAATTCTCCCCTTTTTCTTTGGACAATATTTTTACTATGTGTTTTTATTGGCATGTATGCTTGCCTCTATATGTTCACATTTGTGCCCGGTGCCTGAAGTCAGTCTACATGTAATTTGACTGGAATTGGGATTACATAGATGGGTACTAAGAACCAAACCTGTAATCTTTTACAAACACCTCCCATTTCCCCCACCCACCATTTCTCCAGCACATGAGTGACACTAGATGGCAACAATGAACCAAATTTTATAAAGAATTTTTTATGCAAGCTTTTAATATTTTACATCTTTGTTTAACACTTTTGAATAAAAACACATCTGTATACCGGCAGCATCATTTGTATATTTCACCTATTTTGCTCCTATATCGTTTATTTCCTTTGATGAACCTTCCCATTTAACTTACATTTTTCTCCCTGGCTATTTTCTTTGTATTTTGGCTTCTCTTATCCATCTTTTTTCTCTCATATTTTTGGTTGTGAGCCTAGCCTTTAACGGCTGAGCCATCTCTCCAGCCCCCATCTTTTTTCTATTATTACTGTCTACCTCTTATTTTTTCAGAGGTTAACAATGATCTGCCTGGACGCTGACCAAAATAGCCAAATTTTGTTTTGAGAGAGGAACTGGCTGTGTAGGCCTGGTTGTCCTGGAACTCTCTTTATACCAATCTGGTCTTGAAGTCAGACATCCACTTGCCTATCTCCCTGGTGGGATTAAAGGCATGTGTCGCCACCACCTGGCCAGACGACACAGTTCTTATGGAATTTTTAGAAAGTATCTGGCAGGTGCCAGGCACTGTCTTTCCTGGTTCCTATCTTCAAGATTCACTGTCAGTATAAAAGAGGCCATGACTGACAAGAACAAGGTAGATGTTGGGAGGCTATAATTCACAATATGGTTACTGGGCTTTTGACTGACTGGTCAAGGCCAAGAATGCCACAACCACCTCTCTGCTCTGCCTCCTCAGTGCTGAGATTAAAAGGTGTGAGTAACCACAACCCATCTTAAAACGATCCAGTTTAATTTAATTACAAGTCTTGTTTTTTATTGGCCTATGTCTTAACATACACCTTTAATGTCACAAGTGAAGTCAATTCTCAGGCCCACATTTTAAAGAGGGAGAAAGAGAAAAATATAGTCATCTTAAAAAAAAAAAAAGATGGGTGGTGGTAGTGCACACCTTTAATGTTAACACTCAGGAGGGACAACGGTAGAGTTCCCAGAACATCCAGGGCTACTCAAAGAAATCCTGTCTCTAAAACAGATCCCCACTCCCGCCATAGTTGCAACAGTATAGCAAAAACAGTATTTAGAACACAAGTTGCTCAGGGAATGTGGCTAGTTAGACAGTCTAGCTACAAGATCTTTACCCTGATTCATGAAGTAAAACTTTAAAGCAACTAAGGCAAACTATGTCTACCTTCCTCTATACATATGGGCATGCACTCACATGATAAATACATAAAGCGCATTTTCTTGGGCTGGATACATGGACGTAAACTGAGCATGTTAGCACAGGCCTATCATTTCAGCATTCCAAAGACAAAAAGGCTGAACCATCAGATTCAAGGTTTTCCTTAGCTGTGTAACTGACAAAACTACAACAGTCCACAGAAAATACCAGTTTAGGAGCACACTGCTTTCCCAGATGACCTCAGTTCTTAGCCTGTAAGTGCTGCTCCAGGAGTCAGCAATTTTTAGGTCTAAGCAGGAACCTACATTCACATGTACGTATACTCACATCACATAATTATCAAAAATCTTAGAAATACTGGTTTTCAAAATACCAAACATGGGGTGGAGAGATGGCCAGTAGTTAAGAGTAATCTTAACCTTAACCACATCTCTTCCAGAAGTCCTGAGTTCAATTCCCAGCAACAAGGCTGCTCAAAACCATCTATAAGATCTGGTGCCCTCTTCTGGTCTTCACAGGAAACTGCATACAAATTAAATCTTAAAAAAGGACACAAAAAATAAGTATTTTGTAGCTGTTAAGTCAGATGCCAGGCAGTGGTGGCCCAGCATATCAATGCTGACCTGGGCAACAGTTTCTCCCAATATCTCTCAGTTCTTGTTATAGGTTTTGGCTGGCATCATACCCACTACCCTAAACTTCTCTAGCTCGGTAGGCAGGCTACTCTTCTCCCAGTTGTCCTTTCCTATATAATCCAGCTTTTGGTTACCAGGTCCTTTTTGTCTACCCTTTACTATTTTTTTTTTTTGGTTTTTCGAGACAGGGTTTCTCTGTGGTTTTGAAGCCTGTCCTGGAACTAGCTCTTGTAGACCAGGCTGGTCTCGAACTCACAGAGATCCGCCTGCCTCTGCCTCCCGAGTGCTGGGATTAAAGGCGTGCGCCACCACCGCCCGGCTACCCTTTACTATTTTTGCTCTCTCTTCCTCCCCCTCCTCACATGGCCAGGCTCAGGGTCATATTCTCAGGACTCTCTCAGAAGTCCCTGCCTCTTGATATCCCTTTTATCTACAATACTAGCACCATACTTAGGAGTCATGTCCTTTTTTATGTTTATTTTTTCAACCACCCAGGAAAGTTAAGTGTGAACTTTAACTGGTGACTTAAAATTTC